TGTCGGCATTGCGCATTGCTGATTGTCTTCAGAGAGACTGCGCCGTGTGCGCCTTGACGAGATCTGTTCATTGTCAGAGCATGCCAGAGGATACTGTCTGCTGATGTGGCGAGTAGGGGTTGCCCGAAGGAGGAGTGGGCGTGTGAGGGAGTTCTCTCTGCTGAGGTGATGGGTACTTTCTCTTCCACCCTCTAATCCCCCTCCCATGTGCTTTTTCTCTGGTCACGAGACACTGCACCGCTTGATCACATGTACGATTTCAGAGACATTGAAATTTCTCAGAGACATTCTGCACTTCGTCATTGTTGAGCTTTCCACCAGACTGGGTTCATTGCAATTAGTAATAATACTAATAAATTACATAGAGATAGACCATGTCCGGACTGCCCAAAAAAAACAAGAACGGGCCTGAAAAACCCCGAAAACAATTTTGGGGGCTTGGCTCCTCAGTGGGGAAGGGTCCTGGACCTGTTTTTTTTTTTTTTTTTTTTTTTTTTTGAAATTATGCAGATCCGGACCTTCCGGACTGGACGTCTGGAGTCCGGATTGAATCCAGACCGTCTGGACGTCCGGATCGTAGCCATGGTATGCTCTCTACACTCTCCCTTTGGCCACTGACAGATGGTGCAACTCTTCACGTATTCCACCATGTCACTTCTCATCGTTGGCCGGTATTACTTCTCCAATAGTTCCAGGTGCATTGTTTTTGGACCAAGGTGACTGTGAGCACCGCGACACTCTCCCAGCACATCCAGTCGCAGTTGCTTGTCCTCTGGAACACAGCTGCAGCACACCTCTGCCTGCAGCATATAGAGCAGTCCTCCCTGCACTGTATAATTGGGAGCATGTTGGGGTTTCCTTCCGAATCTGCAATTATATGGCGGTAGACAGGGTCTTTCGAGTACACTGTTGCTATCCTGTCCACATGCTCCTCGCTTACTTTCATATGTGACAAGGTTACTGCAACATGGTCCCACGGCCTTGATAATGCATCTGTCACCCGATTGCATCATCATTATGCTTCAGTTCAAAGTCATAGGCGTCTATGAGAGCTGACCACCTGGCAAGTTTATCTGAGTTTTTTCCAAAGAAAGGTCTCCTCTTTATTCCAAAAAAAATAGGTAATTGGGGCCGGGGACCCCACAGGACTGCATCTTCAACCACTGAAGCAGCTGGTGATCAGAATACACCTTGAAGGCTTGAAGGGCTTGCCCATAGATAATACCTCCATGTCTCGAGGGCTGCCAAGTAGATAATGCCTCATGGCTTGGGGGCTGCCAAGTAGACTGCCTCATGTCTTGAGGGCTGCCAAGTAGATAATGCCTCATGTCTCGAGGCCTGCCCATAGTAAATGCCTCATGTCTTGCTCAGCGACATGAGTTTGGAAAGGTATTCCAAAAGTCTGAGACTCTGAGTCCATGCCCACTGTCTTGCTGCAGCACTGCTCCAACTTTAAATTGGTGGCAACCATGGTGACCATAAAAGAAGTGCTGCGTGCAATCTTCAAGATAGGAGATCAGGCGGTTCTTGATAGTATGAAAGGCCTCTTCACACTCTTCAGTCCATATGACTATCCTTCCTGGTCAGTTCTGTGAGTGGCACGGTAGTGATGAAACATCTTTCCACAAACTTTCACGGATGAAACATCCTTCGATGAACTTAGAGGGATGGCACATCCCTCAATGCACTTTTTGATAAGTTTTATAGTAGTTTACCATGCCCTAGAATGACCACATCTGTAGCTGTTCTAGGTCTTGGCTACCGTCTTCCCCCTAGCATAATGCACCCTCATTTTGCCTGTACCGGACCAGAAAGATGGCTTCTATACATTCATTATCAGGGTGCATTATGTTCGGGTGAAGACGGTAGTCTGGAAATGCTTCTGCTTTGCTGGCTGCAGGCCGCATCCCATCTGCAGTATTCAGATATCCTGAGCGGAGGACCTGCTTCTCCCCAAATTCTCTCTCCAATTAGTCTTGAACTTCTCTTGTCTTAAGCTCTCAAACCTCAGATGCTCCTTATGCTCCTGGTATGATCTTTTGATTACATCATTACAAGGATATTATCAAGGTAGACCACCATGAAAATATTGAGGTACGCTCTCACCCTTTCTTCATTGCTCGCTGGTACATACCCGGTGCATTTGTCAAGTGGGATGCCATCACTTTGAAGTTTGAATTGATTGATTCTGAAAGGTGTCCGGAATGTTGTCTTAGCATCGAATTTTGTGCTGGTCTGCTGGTTTCACCTCGATCTGGTGGTAGCTTCTCTTCAGGTCAATCGTGGAATTGTGACTGTGCACTCGATACAGTGGATCGTTGATCTGCAGAAGTGGCTCCACTTTCTTGATTGTGGTTTTGGACATGCACATACAGCACTTCCAACTTTCTTTGGGACAAAGAAGACAGGAGCACAGTACAAAAACTACTAGTGTTATGTGACTGATTGAAACGCAATCCAGCAGAGCCTCAGCTTGTTCCCATACACATGCCAAGATGACAAAGTAAATTTTGGAGAGGGAATTTTCACCAAAACAGGTTGAGATATGCACAGCGGAAGCTCAACAATCCAGAAGAATTGAAGATTGTCAATTTATATTCCCGCACCTCTCTTTAGCTCAGTCACTACCACAAAGAATCCAAGAATCTCAATCGAGAACAAACCACCTTGAACAAACTCAGAACCTACCTGCAACAAGCCTCTGGAGCCGCTCAGCCCCACTCCTTGCAGACCACCAGCGCTCAGCACAATCGCAACTCAGACAACACTCAGATGCTCCAGTGCTGGGCCAGGGACCTCCTAAACTATACAGCGTCAGCTTCAGAATGAAGAAGGAATTCCAGCTTGAAGAAGAACAAGAACAGCTGACATGAAGAAAAGATATGGCGGCGGCTAACCCCACAGCACAGATATGCACCAGATGAGGCACCTGCTTCTCTGCTGCTCAAACCCTAGCAGTGGCTGCCCAGCTACAGCGCTGCTCCAGCAGCCTGGCGGCATCAAGAGAACTAACACGTCACACTTACTTTATATATTCTTCTACGCTAACCTGCCTGACTAGACTGACTAGGACCTAAAACTAACTAACAGTTATGGGTCTGTGGTTTTCCAGTAACAACGATACAGATCTGGGGCAAGGCTGACCAACTAACAGGGATGGGTCTGTCTTTTCAGTGATAACGGTACCGGTTTGAGGCTAAAGTAAAGCAACAGTAAGATATGGCCTGAACGAGGTTTAGGCCCAGTAACCCCCATTTCTGCAGTACTTCAGAGGATTTGCATTGAAGTCCCTGTCGGTTTAGGCCCAAAACTCTGAAAAATTCAAAAAATCCAAAATGGTCCTAGTTAGTCCCACAGCCCGCTGGGAAACTGCAAGCTCTTTGTGGGAGTCATGAAGTCACAAATCAGCAGTTGCTGCTCTCAGCATCGTTGTGCAAAGAGTCATCTTTTTTGTTTTACCAATGAAATGTGCTGGAGCACAAGAATCACTTGAAGCTATCAGCATGATACGCTGAGCTGACAAAAATGTGGTTCTCTCATTTGTGAGGATTGAGCCCTCAAGAAGGGGCCTTGCCATGAAGTACATGTTCTGGGCTAAGGCCCCAGCAAGCCTCGTGCCCGCCCTAAGTGAAGGCGGGTCAGCAAATCAACAAGAGCCCTCTGTGCAAACATTTCACGAAGTGGGGTCCATACAGTTGCAGCACGCCAGTTGGTTGGTGTGCACCGAGTATCGGAGCTCTGCAAATGCAGAAATCCCAGGGCCCCGAGTTGGTTAGGCCCTGGGCACATAAACATGAGGCCGACAATGCATGCTGGATATAGAGGCCGAAAATGCCAATGGGAAACCGGTCCACTATCTGAATCTGGCCGCAGGCCTTGATGAAAGAGGCACAACTGCATCCCCTGGGCCCCCAACTGCATCGGGCTTGGGTACAGGTACTGGGGCCCAGGCACAGGCTCAAGGGAGGCCGCCCACACGCAACACTGGCATATAGGCAAGCAGGGCGAGTGGGCAGGGATCTTGGCCATTGCGGGCAATGCCGGCACGCTGCTGCGTTGCAAGGGGCTGCGCTGCGCTAGGCTGAGGAAGACAGGCAAGCGCTAAGCGGTAGAGCACTGCGTGGGTGCAGGGCGCTGGCGGCCATAGCCGGGCTGCCTGAGGGCGCAGAGGAGGAAGGGCGAAGGTGGTTCTTCGGAGGTGAAGGGCGCTGTGTGGGATAACAAGGGAGAGTGTGGGTGGAGAGAGAGACGTACCTGGTGGAGATGGGAGGTCGGCATTGGTGTTGACATCATCACTCGCTGGTCTTCAAGTTGTCTGGTTGCTTTCATACTGTAGTTGTAGTGTTAGGCTGTAGAGTAGGTAGGGCGCCTGGCGCCATTCAAGAGAGAGAGCTACATTGGGTTATGCTGTTGGTGTTGCCCTGTTGGGCTTGGACATTGACTCACGATTCTTCTGTATCGTTCTCAAATGGATGGTTACTCGGTTCCATTGTGCTATCTGCTMYTGCTTTGASTACTTGGACTTCAGTGTGATTTTGCAATCTGGATTTCTGTGCTTCGTCCAAATTCATGTTCCTTGCACATTGATTGTTCTCTCTGGGAGCAGTACGTTATGAAGCATCACCTGCTGCTATAACCATCACCGTGCAACGAAGTTACCGAGAAAAGAGTCAAATGAGGTGTGACCTTGACAAAAAGAGATACTTTGTTCAAGTTTGTTGCCTCCATTTTGCAAGTTTGCGAGTTTTGCGTGTTTTATTGGGCCTGTGAAGTGTCAGCTCACACACTCTTTTTTTTTTCCTTCGTTTTGGGGGGATTTTGCGTCTTCAAATTGCTGTCCATCATTTCCATGGTACCTGCTGTTGCTTTGAGACATTTCGTCACTGCTGCGCATTGTGGTTTATTTCCTCCCCTTTTCTCTCTTTGCCTTTCTGCAAGTGGTTTACGGCTTCCTCACACTAATGAAACAATCAGTTTGGTCACTTTGGTGCATCTTGCAGATTGCAGGGGCGGTGGCTGAGGAGGGTGGGACCTTGGAAGAGGTGAAAGCAGAAGCAGAAAAGGCAGCATTAAATATAGGGACCATGGGTGTTGCATTGTCGCTGTGCACATGGCCAGGACTGAAGGCATCAGCGAGAATGAGAGCAGGGCAGATAGAACTCGGGCTTGGAATTGTGAGTATGAATTTATGAAATCACCGAGAGTGTATAAAGCAATTCCGCAGGACCGCAGCCCAATGCCGTCGAGCATTGTTTTCTTTTGTTTTCTGGCCACGTTGTGCAATATGATTTTTCTTATTTTTGTTTATCTATAGACTGGTGATGAAGCAAGTTGTTTTTGTGACCCAGTGAAATCTATCATATTAATTTTGAAGAATAGCTTGACCAATCAAATTTGTAATCACTGTTGCTGTAAATTGGACCCACATTCTCTCTCTCTCTCTCTCTCTCTCTCTCTCTCTCTCTCTCTCTCTCTCTCTCTCTCTCTCTCACACACACACACACTTACACACACGCTGTGCCATTCGATGCAGCAACTGTGACTGCGAAAACTGGATGCGGTGCTTCCACAGTCCACACCCGAACTGGTCCTGTCCTGTCTGTAGGGATGGTCACTTACCATAGGCAATAACTGCTCCTTGACTCAAAATCTTGTGCAACCCAAACACCAATGAACCTCATGTGCTATTCCAGCGGTGAGTGTTTAGAATTCTGCGAAGCCCATCATATACCTCTCGCCTGCCCTACCCTTGCACCCTGCTTTCCCCCTACCTCACGYCCTGACAAACTTACCTCCTGTCCCTTTCCCTCCGCCCTCTCCTTATGTGCAACTAGGAAATACATACGAATGAGCATCAGTAAGAGTACAGACAAAGTATAAGTTGAAGATTTGAAGAGAAATGAACAGGAGTATGAAGATGAACGACAGACACAAAGACTAAGCATATGCTGAAGATCTGAAGTGAAATGAACAGCTGGAGATCTGAAGTGAAATGAACAGCTGGAGATCTGAAGTGAAATGAACAGGAGTATGAAGATCTGAAGTGAAGTGCACAGGAGCATACCTTCCCCTTTACTCTGCCTCTTATTATAACGTGCAAGTGGGCCGTTAAGGCACACGGGGATGTGGGCAGCTGCCGCTCAAACACCATCAACGTGGGCAGCCTTGTACGTGCGAGGCAAAGTGAAAGAGGAGCTGTTGCCCCAAAGAAACCCTAGCTAAACACGGTTCAACATGGTTCTATTATGATTCGTGCTGCCTGTTAAAGAGAATTTTTTTAAAGTGTTGGGCGGACTCAGTCCGGTTCTACTCATCTGGTTGGAATAGGGGTTGTTGTGGGGAAGCTTATAACACACACACAAACGTGGCCAACCTTGCATTTTCTATTATATTGCCTATCTAGCATCTATACTTTTTCGTTATGGATGGCTGATTTTTTAAGGGAATGAGAGAGAGAATCTGGGTTTTTTTAAAACAACACATGCACATAAATTTGCAATGAAATGTGCTGTAGTTCCGACCAACATAATTGATCGATGACATTAGTTCTCTGTAGCTGTGCCGGTTGACAAAAACGTCTTCCTGCGAAATACACCCATCCACCCTCCTATGGCCGGGACTGCCTTGCTATGCATCATTACTTGCATGACCTTTGCTAACGAGTGTGGGGCCAACCAGTGCTATGTTGTTTGCTCAGAAATGAACCAGGTCCCAGAAGTGGGTTTGACATGATCTTAGCACCAGTGGTGCCTGTGCCGTTTTCGCTATTTGATTTGGTGTTGGGTTGTGAGCATACTTGCAACTGCACAGCCGCAGGGGGGGGGCTGTGCTGTCCGCTGTGCGCTGCTTGGCACCTCCGTGCGCACTGCATGGGTCTGGGCCCACTGGACTTCATCGCACAGGTTGCCGTGCGGTGCGTTTTGAAGCAGAGGATCACCATGCGGTGCGCTTCCGTGCTCAGCCGGTGAGGTGTGGTCCCTGCACCACGCGGAGCTGTGCGGAACGTTTGCTTTTTGTTTGAGCTGTGCGGAAGGCGAAGGTTGGGGGACATGCAGGAACCGTCTGTGCTCAGAAAACACAGAAAAGAAGTTTAAAAGAAACAACCATTGGGATGAAAATGCTGCGGCGTTGAACTTGTGGCTCGACCTTATGACCTGCATACAGCAACAACAGGAGCCACCAAATCATCCGTACTCTGTATATCGCTCCCCAATTCTTTCACAAAGCTACTCTTCCCAACCTGGCCCCCCTCCTCCCATAGAGTCGTCCACAACAACTCCCTTGGAATATGGCGGGACGGGCTTGGGACAGGCGGGACAGTGCTGTTTCAGCCCTGTCCGAACTGTCTCAGGCCTGCCACGCCAGTCCCGCCTATACCACCCCCACACGGCTAGTCCGTCATTGTTTGAGATTGTATCCCAACTCTGAACATGGCAGGACAGGCCTGGGGCAGGCGCCACCGTGCCGTTTCAGGCCTGACGCAACTGTCACAGGCGTGCCCATCTGGGACCACCTCCACTTCCCTCTCCGATTCAGTCCCACCTCGAAACATCGTGGGACATGCCAGGTAGCGGCGGGCCAACACTGTTTCAGGCCTGTCCCAGGGCTTCCCCACCTGTCTGCCTGTTCGGCCCCCGCTTGGCTAGGCTGTCTTTGTATTATGTGCCTGGTTCTCCCTGTTGGGATGACTGGAGAGGAGGAGGACAGGATGAGGAGGAAGAAGAGGAAGATGGAGTCGTCAAGAGAGGATCAGGAGGAGAGCTGCACACTGTTGCTTTCCAGTGCTTTCTAGAGAAAAAAGAAAAAAAAATCACGATTTGCTGCCATTGCCATGTCGCGGAGTTCAATAAGAGAGGCGAAAGAGAGGAGGGGAAAAAAAATAATAATAATAAAATGGGTCATTGAGTTCAATAAGAGGAGGGGAGAGGAGGAGAACAGGATGAAGAGGACGAGGAGGAAACATGGAGGAGAGGACTGAGGAGGGAGAGATACATGCTGTTCCCTTTCCCTGCCTTCTAGAAAAGAAAAAAAATTGCGATTTACCATTATTGCCGTGTGGTGGAGAATCAATGAGTTGGAGAAAGGAGGAGGATGAGAGAGGCTCACCATTGTCTTTCCCGGCTTTTCAGAAGGAAAACAAATCGTGATTTTGCAGCCATCCCCAAATCACCGAGTTCAGTAAAGAGGAGGAGAGAGGAGGAGGAGAAGAGGAGAGNAAAGAGGAGGAGAGAGGAGGAGGAGAAGAGGAGAGAGGAGGAGAGAGGAGGAGAGAGGAGGAGAGAGGAGGAGAAGAGGAGGAGAGGAGGAGGACAGGAGGAGGGGAGAGGGGGAGGACAGGAGAAGGAAAGAAGAGGGGAGAGAGGGGGAGGAGGAGGAGGAGGAGGAAGAGGAGGAGGGAGATGGAGGGGAGAGGAGAAGAGGAGATGGAGGGAAGGAGAGGAGGAGGACGAAGAGGAGGAAAGAGGACTGGGAGGGAGATGGAGGGGAGAGAGTAGAAGAGGAGATGGAGGGGAGGAGAGCAGGGGGACAGGACAATGATGAGGAGGAGAAGGGAGGAGACAGAGTATGAGGACCGATGCATACTTTGAAAAAGAAGGGCGAAAAAAAACCTTTGTGATTTGCGGTCATTGCGATTCATGCTTTGGTAAAGGAGGGGGAGGGGGGTGGTGGGGGGGAGGGAGAACTTTGTGATTTGCCAACTTCAATAAGAGGAGGAGAGAAGAGGAGGATAGGACAACGACGATAAGGAGGAGAAAAGATGAAGGAGAGGAGAGGGGAAGAGGACAGGAGAACGAGGATGAGTCAGCGAAATGGAGAGGAGAGACGAGGAGGTGGAGGAGACAAGGAGTATGAGGACAGATACATGGTACTAAAAGAAAGAAATAAAATAAAACATTGCGATTTGTAACCATTGCTATCTCACAGACTTCAACAAGGGGACGAGAGAGGAGGAGGAGGAGGAGGAGAGATGGAGGAGAGGAGGGAGGACGGAGGAAGAGGAGGAGGAGGTGAGGTAGAAGTGGTTGAGGCATGTTGCCGGGCTGGTGGAGACGCACCTGTGGAAGGCGATAAAGCTACTCTGCAGCATGACTGCAGGCACTCCATGCATCTCTGAGGTACATCGTCGAAGTGGGCGGCGGGGAGGAGGGTGAGAGGAGGATGTCGAGGACAAGCCACTGGTGGAAGGCAAAACAATGAAAAACACCCGAGTGGCCCAGCCCAACCTTACATTTGTTTTGAGCAATTCAAAGTGTCAGCGGGCTGTGATAGAGCATGGCCTGCCAGTGCTGCCACCAAAAAACTTTTTTCCCTGAGTCATTTTTGCAAGGTGGTGAGGGTTACATCGATTCAACCCCTGCCATGTTGTTGGGGGAAGGGGAGGGGCTGTGCGCTCGTGTGCAGGACGTCTGTGAACACGCACACGGTGTTCAACTGCAAGGATGGTTTTAGGTTCTGTTGCTGGCCCTTCTTGTGTGCATGCTATGTACCTACAGTGTGTGTGCAGCGATGCACTTATCCCTTCATGTACCACATTTTGCAAAGCAACCGTCATTGAAAAAGAAAATCAAAATTAGGAAACAAGACACACAAGTTTTAGTCTATGACCAAGCATCATGTTGAAAATTCTGTTCCCAAAGTGCAAGGAAAATGAGCGATAGTGAATTCCAGAAACAAAGCAGCATCATACACATGAAACCAGATAGTCGTGACCTCGAACCAAAAGCGGAATTGCAACCCAAGTTCCACCAAATAAGAGCACAACAAAAGCTCACAAGTGACAATGTTGGAATAGTCTCATAGTCATCAACAAAGAACGAATGTCGATTTCCTATCTGGCGCTCTGCGCCCAGCCTACAAATGGCAGATCCTATCTAGCCTATCTACAATGCTGCTGGTGACATCAGCAGCTCCCCGAAGTACGAGCAGATCTCGGCCAATGCTGTACGCCTCAAGCACCAGGTATGTCTCTCGCATCACTCACAACGTTGATCCCCCACACAGATGCCACGTGCACCCAAGGACCACCATGCGCTCCATCCAGCACCTCACAGGACAGCTCTGCTATGGCTGCCTGCGTATCCCTTGCTCGCCCGTGATCGCGTGGGCGCTTGCCTGCCAGTAGCACAGCATGTAGCAAGTGCCCAAATGCCAAATGCGAGGGCAGGCCCTTTCC